GTGACGTCACCATCCCCGACTCACCGTGACGTGCAGCGTGATGTCACCACCCCACCCCGACTCACCGTGACGTGCAGCGTGATGTCACCACCCCGACTCACCGTGACGCGCAGCGTGACGTCACCACCCCCTACTCACCGTGACGCGCAGTGTGACGATGACGCACCTGAGCGGCGCGGTGCCGGCTCACCGTGATGCGTAGCGTGACATCACCACCCCCTACTCATCGTGACATGCAGCGTGACGTCACCACCCCCGACTCACCGTGACGCGCAGCGTGACGTCACCACCCCCGACTCACCGTGACGTCACCACCCCTCCCCTACTCACCGTGACGCGTAGTGTGACGATGACGCACGTGAGCGGCGCGGTGCCGGCGTCGCTGCCGACGAGGCGTACGCGATCGACGTAGGCCGGCTCCATGTGCTTGTAGAAGCGCGTCGTCACCTCGTTCGTCTGCAGGTTCACGTAGCTGTAGTACGGGTCGCCCGCCTGCAGCAGCTGCCCGATAAAGGGCAGCCCGTCCCCGTCTAGCTTGCCCTGAGAGAGAGAGAGAGATAGTCACTTGGACATGCGCACGGATATGTGTAGACTGCAAGCCACCTTGCAGTAGCTGCCCAATAATCGGCAGCCCGTCCCCCCGTCCAGCTTGCCCTGAGAGAGAGAAAGAGAGACACACTCGCTTAGACATACATGTGTAGTATGTATGTATGTATATATGTATGACAAATATATCGCACGGATATGTGTAGACAGCCAGCCAACCTGCAGTAGCCTCCCTGTCGCTTAACCTCACGCTGGAGTCTCTACCTGGTTCTTATCGTCCGGCTTGTTGCAGAACCTGTAAGGGCAGAGTCTGTCGCGCGACACCTCAGCCAGGTCGATCTTCTCTGTCTTGTAGACCATGCCGTGACAGAAGCCGCGCTCGAATGCTCCCTTGTTGATGATCATCGCGTCTTCCATGTCGTAACCCTGCGTAAATCCGGCGGGTTTATCATAAAATTCATTAAATTATCATTAAATTATCATTAAATTCATTATAATTAAATCTGCTCAATTAATCATTCCTCAACAGCTCTAAGGAACCTCTCATAAACGTGTTCATTATGAACAGGTGTTGATTCTAGGTGTTGGTTACTCTTGTAACCAGTCACTCATGGGAAATTCTAAATGTGTCTTTCATGAAAGGGGTTTATTCAAAAGAGGTGTCTGCCGAAACCAGTTTGACTGTATGTAATTTCAGCTTTTAAAACTGGCATTGAGTTATCGATGGTTAATTGCCATTCAATATACGTCAAAAAATTTCATGTGCAAGAGACAACCAGACGCCAACCCAGACTCCTTGGTAGATATGGCTTCTGAGCTCATCTACCCTCCACAGCCACTGCCAAACAAAAAAGCTGAACCCACAGTGTTTCTGCTCAGAGACAGAGGAGTGGACACACGTCAGTAAGTAGGACAGACAGTAAGAGTCCACACAATGTTTCTAGATCTTGCTATAGGTTGCTGCCGCGGCAGAGTGCGACGTTAAGATGGAATTACCGTGTATGATATAACGGCGACTATGGCATTGGTGCCCGCCGGGTAATCATCACACTTCAACACGTCGTACGCCTTCGGCCGGACGAGCGGCGACTGTGGGGTCAGGATCCTGTACAGCTTGTTGTCCGAACGATGCTCGTACGCTAGGAGAGGAGTACCCATCGTCTGCTTTCCTGCGGGCACATGAAATGGACCTTGTATCTACTGTCACACGTAACAGCTAGACCTTGTATCTACTGTCACACGTAATGGACCTTGTATCTACTGTCACACGTAACGGACCTTGTATCTACTGTCACACGTAACGGACCTTGTATCTACTGTCACACGTAACGGACCTTGTATCTACTGTCACACGTAACGCACCTTGTATCTACTGTCACACGTAATGGACCTTGTATCTACTGTCACACGTAACGGACCTTGTATCTACTGTCACACGTTAACGGAACCTTGGTATCTATCTGTCACATCAGTTAATGGACCTTGTATCTACTGTCAGCACGTAAATAGACCTTGTAGTCATACTGTCACGCGTAACGGACCCTTAGCTATCTACTGTCAACACGTAATGACCTTGTATTCCACACTGTCACGACCGTACACTGGCACCGACGGTAGTATCTACTGCACAGCGTAACGGACGCTTGTATCTAGCTGTCACCACGGGTAACGCCAGCAGCTTTTTATCTATCTGTCACACAATAACAGACCTTGTATCCCTACTGTCACAACGTTAAACGCACCATTCTAATCTACTGTCCACACTTAATGGACCCATGAATCTTACTGTCAGCACATAACAGACCTTGTATCTACTTGTCACAGCGTGTAACGCACCTTGTATCTACTCGTCACAATCATAACGGAGCCTTGTATCTACTGTCACACGCGTAATGGACCTTGTATCCTACTGTCACAATGTAATGAGAGCCTGTATCTCTACTGTCCACGCGTAACGCGACTTGTATCTACCTGTCACGCGTAACAACCTTGTATCTACTGTCGCCACGTAATCGGAACTTTTATCTACTGTCAGCAACGTAATGGACCTTGTATCTACTGATCATCGACGTAACAGTGAGACCTTCCTCAACGTCACACCGTTAACGGCCTATTGTACTAACTGTCACAAGCGTTAACTGGAGCGCTTGATACTACTGTCACACTCTGGACTTACTAGCTGTACACTCGTATCTATGACCTGTCCCAGTAATGCCATATCTTGTCACAATCGTAACGAACCTTGTATCTAACTGTCACGCGCAGTCGAGGACCTTGTATCTATGTCACGCGTAACGGACCTTGTATCTACTGTCACACGTAAGCGCACCTTTTGTAATGCTACTGTCACACGTAAATGGACCTTGTATCTACTGTCACACGTAATGGACCTTGTTATCTACTGTCACGACGTAACAGGCTAGACCTTGTATCCTACCTGTCACACGTAATGGACGCTATGTATCTATGTCACACGAAAATGGACCTTGTATGCTACTGTCACACGTAACGGACCTTGTATCTACTGTCACACATAACGAACCTTGTATCTACTGTCACACATAACAGACCTTGTATCTACTGTCACACGTTAACGGACCTTGTATCTACTGTCACACGTACCGGACCTTGTATCTAACTGTCACATGTAATGGACCCTGTATCTACTGTCACACGTAACGGGACCTTGTATCTACTGTCACACGTTAATGGACCTTGTAATCTACTGTCAGGCACGTAACGGACCTTGTATCTACGTCACACGTTAATGGACCTTGTATCTACTGTCACACGTAACGGACCTTGTATCTACTGTCACACGTAACAGACCTTGTATCTACTGTCACACATAACAGCTAGACCTTGTATCTACTGTCACACGTGGCAGCGAAGAAAATTATGCAGCCAAAGATATTCTACATCAAAAATTAAAAAACGGTTGAAAATCAGTTGAAAAAATACAAATTGACATCATTATTTGTAAAAATTTTAAATGCGCAAAAAATACGCTCATGCATATCAGACGACACTAGCATACGTTGCGCATGTCTAGGACTACGAAGCTCACCCATCTGACACTGGTACATGTTGCGAGGGCTCTGGTTGTAGTTGGAATACGGAATCAGCGTTGCCGTGGCGCTCAGCATACTCATCTCACTCAGCTCCTGGTGCGTGGTCCTGCCATCGATCGCCTCCTCCGGTACTACACAGATGTTCATGTACACCTGCGCACAAACACAAACGATCTATACACCTATACGCAGGTAGTAAACGAAGACGTGCGTGCAGAACAGTTTACAACATGCGTCTGGCACGGACACTGCATGGACAACCGTTTACACGCCCGACCATAGCGAAACCACATTCATTCCCCATATGCACCTAAGCAGTCCTAAGATTTACAAATGGAGCCCCGTTCACATTCCTGTTTAGTTACAAGGCTTACCCAATCGACACTGGTACATGTTGCGAGGGCTCTGGTTGTAGTTAGAATTGGGATAGGATTGTATAGGATAGGATTATATATACCGTGCTTCCCCTGGCCAAAAAGGTCTGTGAGGTGGTGAATGTTTTTTGTGATGTGTTTGCGCGTTTCAAAATCCTAGCAAAGCAAGCAGCTTTTTTGAAAAAATGGTGCAATTTGGTGCATTCTAAGCTATTCTGAACACATTGTACGAGACTCATGAATCTCTTTTTCAAGTTGTCAAAAGTTTCATCAGCAAGGCAGTGTTTTGGACACATTTCTGTGTGGCGGCTGAGAATTTAAGCGAGGCGGCCTGCCTCGCTCGTGTCAATGCAGGGGAAACACTGTACATATAAAAAGCATTCCATTCCGCGTCGCCGACAGATACCTGTTCGAAGGTGCCAATCATCTCGACGGTGTTCGTGGTGAGGTTGAGTACGGGTCGCATCATGCGCGCAGGCGTCGTGAACAGGTAGAGAGCCGGGTACTGACTCGCGCAGTCCGTCCTCTCGACGAGAACCACCTCCATCATGAGCGGAACCTAGCGAACAACATGAACAACGCTCGTGAACACCTGCGCTGTGAGCGGAACCTAGCGAACAACATGAACAACGCTCGTGAACACCTGCGCTGTGAGCAGAACCTAGCGAACAACACGAACAATGCTTGTGAACACCTGTGCCGTGAGCGGAACCTAGCAAACAACACAAACAACTCTTGCGAACACCTGCGTCTTCATCAGGAGAAGGAACCTATGTCGTGAGAAGGACCCTCAATCATGAGCGGACCTAGCGAACAACACAAACACCTCTCATGAACACCTAGCCGAGTCTTCGTCAGGAGAACGAACACATGTCATGAGAAGGAACCTGCATTATGAGAGGAACCTATATGATCGATGCAGAAATTCCTGTTATAAACTGAATCTCAGACATGGCAAGAAATATCTATCATTAGAGAAACCTAAAGAAAGACATCAAATTGTCTTAAGCACTTGCAACTTCGTTGTGAGAAGAAATCTCCATCATAAGGGTAACATAAAGAATGATAAAAAATTCCATAAACACCTGCATTTTTGTTTTTAGTGTACACAACCGCATCAAAATTACAACTGAAATCTGTAGCCAGCGACGTCTTTCGTAAAGGACTTTATCATCTTTTGAATTCGAATGCACGCAAATGCCGTCACTATTAAACATGTCCACATTCACGAGATGGGATTGTAATACTGAACGTTGGATACTGCAAATAATT